CAAGGGGTGGCAAAGTGGAAGGAAGGCAGCGCGGCTTTGTGCTGTCTTCGCTGGGTCAAATTGTTTCAGTTGCAAACGATAAATCTATTTTACCCATTAGAGCTTGTCTAGACTAAGGAAATATTCCTGCTATGACTACGCCAAAGTAATTATACCAGTGTAAACCCCTTTGGGCAAAACAGAGCTTTTAGTGGCCTGATTTACGCTGGTCACTTGCCAGGATTAGTTCAGCTGGTAGCAGCCCGTCCTCCAGGAGCTCCCTGCCAGAACACAAGCGGGAGCTTTTCCGTCTCATCAGAAAAATCCACGCTGCCAATCTATCAATCAGGCCGTCCTTACGGGGCACCCGTGCATGTGTTTCTCAGAGAGAATGGTAAATATTTAGGAGGTTCCTCTGTCAGTGAAGAACTGATTAATTGGCTATGGAAAACACGCTGAGAAAGCTGTTCTTGAATCAAAGCATTGTTTGAAGCATGTAGACGTGTATCGGGGAAATGTATCGGCTCCGGATGCAATGAGATAGGAAGGCAGATGGGGATGATCAGCCTGCCGGTGGTAGATGTGGTCCTTGCATTAAATAGGCATATAGGAGAGGATGAAGTGTGTCCAGAGAGAGTAATCCAAACTGCTCCTATTAAATGAACGAAACACTGAGAAAGCAGATAAACTAAATTAAATAAATCTGAGTGCTTGCATCTGAAGTCCCTTTTGAGGAGCAGAGGGTGAAACCCCACTCTAAGAGGAGCCAGCAGCACCATCTACATTGGCTTTGGAGGAGGCTTCATTCAATGGAACGCACACGGTGAAGCCACACAATGTCCTTCTGTGTGCTGATAAGCGCAGGACAGGGAACGGACAGACTGACAGACAGATGGACTGGGCTATAGGTGAGCGCAGACCACAGTTATCCATAGGTGTCACAATCAATATATTTCTAAAAGATTGTTACACACCTTTAGTTCTGCACACTTACAGGAAAGACAGAAGCTCTACTAAGTGAGAACAAATATACTCCCTTGTTTTAAATGTCTCCTTATTAAAAAAGCAAGGAGTGTGTGTCTGAGGCACAGAGATGACATCAGAAAAGTTCCTTAGTTCACAGATGGCTGCACCTTTCAGAAAAAAAATAAATTAAAATAGGAACCCTAGATTGATTTAATCACCCATACAAGCGAAAAAACGTAATGAAGATACTTAGAGCCAAATTGGTTTCTTGGGACCTTTTCCATGTAAATAATACAACTCAAACCTTGAAGTTCACTGCAGATAGGATCTGACAAGCGAGCCAGGCTTTCTGTTTTCCTTTGATCCAGCTCCAGAAATATTTTATCCAAGGTAAAGTTGTTTTTAAGTGTTTTCCATTTCAATTTTGGATATTCACTGTATAGGAAACTCGCTTAGAACGCTTGAAACACCTTCTGGCTGAACTGACTCACCCAACCTGGAGGTTCCCTCGTGTTTGCTTGCAGCACAGAAGGAGCTCCCAATGTGATGTGGGACCACCCGTAGCTCACACTGCTGTGATAATGGGACAGTGGTGTGGACACCAAAGCTGGGGATTCCCAATGCCACATCAGCCTGACTCAGGTGCATTTCGCCCCACTCCACTGCTGAACAATGCTGTTGAAAGCACTGTGGTGGGCAGGCCTTGTTTCCAGAGCGATGCCCCCAGTTCCCCGCTCTCCCCGCTCTCTGATGCCTGTGAATTCTCATGGAAAAAAGCCCCATGCATTGGGCATGTGCTGCTTTTTATTTTCACGTTAGTTATAACCCCAGGATGACGATTCCATGGTTCAGAAAAAAAAATAAAAAATAAAACCCATAAAAAGTTGTTCTAAAATTTCCATGGCCGTGTGTCTGAACAGGGATTTGGGCACCTTGCTGCAGGCATCCCGCTTGTCAGAATGCAGCTCCTGTGAATAATGTCAAATCCTCCGCGTTCCCTTCCTTCCCCAAACTGGCATGCAGCACATTTAGGATGAACCGGGCCCCTTTTCTCTTTTCCCTCAAATTGTGGTGTAAGGTTAATGAAAATAAGACAGATCTTTTATTTTGGGTCTTAAATATAACATTATTAAACGTGCCCACCAGAAATGTAGGATAAAATATTTGCTCTGCTTGAAGATTATGTGATATTTGTATTCTGAGCCTCACCACAGTGGGTTTCTTTAAATAGAAGCTATACTTTACTCCTAAATTGCTTAAGGCAAAGGAAGCAGAGATGATGTTTTTATGAATGTTTAAATGCAAATGGAACCGAGAGTGAATGCTATGCTAGCTAACATCAAAGGCTCACCAAAGTCTCTGCATTAATGAGGCTCTTTGTTTCCTGGATCACAGATTACAACAGGTTTCCAACTCATTGCCAAGGCTTTATCTCCGTTTGGGAGGGCTGTAAATCTCAGACGGTTTTTTTCACATGCAAAACAAGAGGATCATCTGAAAAGGAAAAAAAAAAAATTAAAAAATCTGAAAGCAGCAAATATTTCATTCAAATCATTCTCGCTCCGAGAGGCTGCAGCGTATTTTATTTTATTTTTTTTTAGTGATGTTTAAAAGGATGGAAATCCACAGATGGAGTTTGCTATGGGGTGGGGAAGCAGAGATGCACGCTGTGCCTCCTCCCCCCCCATCCCATCTCCTTCAGCCCCCGAAATAAGAGCACTGTGCAAGAGCAGCAATTAGCAGAAAGACGGATTTTGCTTCATTTAAATACATTCAGCACTTCTCAAAGTGGCTCTGACTAGTTCTTCTCCTCCCCCAAAAGTAATGAGATTATATCCATAGTAATAATACCCTAATTAACAAGAAAAATAGGGACCGAGATTTTTAGCTTCCTATTCAAGGGCTGAATGCGACAATATGTAGTATATTGGGTCATAAAAAACAATTTACATGGCGTCATTACAGTCTGTAGAAAAGTCTCCAGGACCCAGGGCTATCTTATGCAATCTTAATTAAGGAAAATAAATATCGGTGTGTTTTTTCAAGCTACCGGAGACATGCACAGGACCTGTCGTACGCGATCAGAGGAGATGGGGAGTTTCCTTTTCCATGGGAACTGCCTCACAAAAAATCTGACGCCGACACAGAAGTGTCTGCTGCCTTCACATTGGCTGCAAAGATGTTCATTTCGGGTTTCCCGACCTTCGGGGCCACTCAGGGCTGAGCATTTTCTGCAACATCGCAGCCAGGGCTGGGGGCTGCACAGCAGTGCGTGGCAGGGTGTGCGTGTGTGCACCCACATGTGCAGTGCCTGCATGGAAGGGCCATTGCTGCATGAGCACACGTGTGTGCCTTCAGATGTGTGCAAAGACTTCTGCCCTCTGATCCGTGCTGGAACATTTGTGAGCAGCTGTGAGTGTGCAGCGCTCGTGCAGCTGCGTGTGCTCGTGTGGGGCTGTGCATGCTGCTGCGGGCAGCTGTGTCTTGGTTGGTGCTGCTGTGTGCAGTGCGGGTGTGCAAGTGCTGGTGTGTGTCAGGAGTGTGCAGTGAGTGCTGATGGTGAGCCAGGAGTTGGATGCAATGATCACTGTGGGTCTCTTCCAACTCAGGAAATTCCATGAGCCCTTGTGTGCGTATTGGTGCTTGTGGGCATACACACACCGATAGTGTGAGCAGCACAGCAGCAGTGTGCACCAGCAGTACATGCCGTGTGCACAAAGAAGAGTGCACACAGAGCTATGTGTGCACACAGGTGTATTTGCAGCATGTACAGAACCATGCATGCAGATGTGTGTGCAGCAGTGTGTGCACACTAGCACCTACATACACATACAGTTTGCAGTGCTGTACCACGCCATGCCGTGCCATACCACACTGTGCCTTATCATGCTGTGCCGTGCTGTGCCAGAGCTGGGTATGAAAATGTGTGTGCAGATGCATGTGTGTGTACATGTGTGCACTGATGTGTAAGCAGAGCTAAGCATAAGTGCACAGATGTGCACACGGGTGTGCATGCAAACAAACTTACATGGCTTCACTGTGCCCCTAGCTGTGCCAAGTAGTGCCATGCAATGCTGTGCTGTGCCGTGTCTTGGCCACACTACCCCACACAATGCTGTGCTGTACAATGCCACACCATGCCATGCTGTGTCGTGCTATACAAGGCAATGCAATCTGTGTTGTGCTGTACCATGCAATGCCATGCTATGCTGTACTATGTCACGCAATGCAACGCTGTTCTGTACCATGCCATGCTATGCAATGCAATGCCATGCTGTATCATGCAATGCTTTGCCATGCTTTGCCATGTACTGCCATGCCATGCTGTACCATGACATGCAATGCAACACCATGATGTGCCATGCAATACCATGCTATGCTGTACCATGCCATACAATGCCATGCCATGCTGTGCCATGCAATGCCATGCTGTGCTGCACCATGCCATGCAATGCAACACCATGCCATACCATGCAATGCCACGCTGTGCCGTACCATGCAATGTAACACCATGCTGTACCATGCAATGCCATGCTGTGCTGCACCATGCACTGCCACGCCATGCTGTACCATGCAGTACCACACCGTGCTGCACCATGCAATGCCATGCCGTGCCATGCCATGCTATGCAGCGCCACATCACAGCCCCGCAGCCCAGCAGCACCGCACACCCCTCCCTCCCCCCGCTGCCCCTTTAAGGCAGACACCCCTCTCCGACCGCGCGCGCGGGCTGCACGCTCGGCTGTGCGCGCGCGGGTTCGTGTGCGCGCGGGTGTGTGCGTGTGCGCGCCCGCCCCCGGCCCCTCCCCGGCGCTGCCAATCACCCGGCGGCCGCTTTGATGTCGGCAGCCCTTGGCCGCCGCGCCGCCGCGTTCGCACACAGGCACCGGGCGCTCCGTGCCTCTGGCTGCCGCCGGCGCCCGCTGCTCCCGGAGAAACTTTGCGGGGCTCGGGCCGCGGGGCGGCACCGGGGGGGGGGGGCAGCGTCGAGCGCGGCATCCCGCGACGCCTGCCCGGCTGCAGGCTGCGGAGCCCCCCGCCAGTTGCCGGGAGGGAAGGAGGGAGGGGGGGAGAGAAAAAGATTTAAGAAAGGAAATTTTTGTATTATTATTTTTTAGGGAGATTCGAAAGGGAGTTTAGGAGAAGGGGGTAACATTTATAAGGGAAAAAAAAAAGTTTGTTAGAATTTAGAGAGGGGAAAAAAAAAAAGTTTAGGAAGAAAAATATAGAGGGAGCGAAGTCTTTTTTCCGAAAGCAAAATAATCGAGGGAGAGGAGGAGGAAAAAAAAAAAACAACCAACCTACGCTCAGACGGACGCGAGGAGGAATCGCGGTGAGAACAAAACTGCGGGGAAGTTTTGCGCGGCGGGAGCGACATGCCGCAACTGGGCAGCGGCGGAGGGGACGACCTGGGGGCCACCGACGAGATGCTGGCCTTCAAGGACGAGGGCGAGCAGGAGGAGAAGATCCCCGAGAACGCCTTCACCGAGCGCGATCTGGCCGATCTCAAGTCCTCGCTGGTGAACGAGTCCGAGGGTAGCGGCAGTCCCGCCGCCGCCGCGGACCCTGAGGTGAGCCGGCCGCCCCGCACGGCTCCCCGGCACGCGCTCCCCCCTCTCCTCCCGCCAACCCCGCTCTGCCCTTCTCTCTCTCTCTCCTCCCATCCAGGCCATCCGCCGCGTGCAGGATCCGCAGAGGGTTTACCAGGAGAAGCTCCCGGACCACATGGAGGATGGTTAGTGGCGGCGATCCTCGTGGCTCTTCCTCTCTCCTTCCCGGCCCCCTCCAGCCCCGCTCCCAGCCCGGCTCCCCCGGGACCCTCACACCCTTACAGTGCGCTCCTTTGGGATGACGGAGCCAAAAGGCTCCCAAATACACCATCACCTCTTCTGTCCCCCCCGACAGGCAGAACAGCCACCTGTCGTAAGGCAGATCGTGATGGGGAACTCTGATTTTAGCAGGTATGAAGCACCAGGACCCAGGGATGTATAAAGGATCTGCGTACTCTGGCTACCCCTTCCTCATGCTCTCAGACCCCTATCTGCCAAACGGATCTATGTCACCTCTGGTGAGTGCATCCTCTCCTTACGGAGACCTTTGGTGGCCTCTCACTGCCCAGCTGTGCTGCAGGTACCACGCAGGCACCTACGCGTGCTTTTTTCTGACAAATTGTGTCTAAAATGCCCAGTGCTGTTCCATGGAAAGGGGAGTGATGCAAGCGCTGCTTCTCCCCGAATTACTGGGGGAGCTTCTTCACAGACCCTGTTTTCTAGGCTTGCCTTTGTGCTGCCAACAGTCAGATCCTAAGCTCTAATGTGGAAATGCTTCCTTTATCTGGGTCTGGAGGTGAGCAGCTGCTGGTGTTGGTGTCCAGAGCTGTGTCCCGTGGCTCAGCTTCAGTTTGACATATCTGCTTGTGAGATGGCCAGCCTGGGGCCTGCTGCCAGTTGGGGCTCTGCTGTGGGTGATGACCCGGAAGGAGGATCTTCAACTTAAATCTTAAACTCTGAAATGGCAATGGAGGTTTTTCAGTCTCGTGCAGCTGAACGGCTGTTCCAGTCTTCCCATAAAGTTTTTCCTTCTCGTGTCAAATCACCTTTAGCATCTCTCTGTCATTTAATGCTTACAAAAAGTTTTGCTATATGAATAATTGAATTAAACACTTCTGTACGAGAGCTGTCTTTGCCCATTGCCATTTTCCACCAGGACTTTAGAATTTCCCGATGCTGCAGCACACAGAGGCTGTGCTCGTGACATTTCAGGGGAGCCAGCATTGCCGCATTCATTTCAGGTGTTATTCCGTATTTACAGTAGGCTGATGAGATCAGAACATCGTTCAGTGTATTTTAGTTTTTAAGCTACGAAGAATCTAGAATGCCCTCCTCAATGTAAGCACTTGGTTTGCTAAGAGGGGTAGGGATTTCAGATTGGTGTTATGAGAAATAGATGGATCGTGGCATGGGGAATGAAGTGTGATAAAATGCTGCTCGTGGCAATCAGTGCCGTGTCCTCCCACCCCAGCTTGCTCACCGGTCAGGCAGGAGGAGACTGGTCCTCTGGTAGCTGTACCCCTGCATTGCCCCGCTGACACAGGAGGTGCAGCTCCTGCTGAGATCAGGGGCAGTTTGGGGGGATCTCTGCATCTTGGAGTTGCCTTCATCTTCCAGCATGAAAAGGTGTTGGCAAGACACAGCCTCGCTGCTCTCAGAACAAGCAGCTCTTCAGTTGTTTCCCATCTTGTGTCCCTTCTTCAGGGATCCAGGTGTTCCCTCCACCCCTCGGAAATACAAAGCTGCTCCACTGATGAATTGTAATTGATGATACGAAATTTGTCTCATTGAAACGCGTTTAATTTGCTCTCTGGTGTAGAATCTGTTCAAGTTCAAAGTTGCATTAATCTATTCATTGTAGCAGGATATTTCTTTTAATCTTAAACCCTTACTAGTTGGGCAACAAAGTCCAATAGCCTATTTATTAGCAACTAAGCTGAAAAGTAGATTGTGGTTTGTGAATTGCCTTTCCCCTTGAGAGTGTAAAAAATCCAGGAGGTTACTGTTGGAGCAACAGATAGATGTGAATAGGCTGCGCGGAACTTACGGAGGAGAAAACTGAGCAGCAGAGAGGGAATGATTCCCTGAGAGCCACCGAAATCACCTACGGCCTTAGTGAGCGTTGGTTGGGTCTGCTGGGATCCTGCGGTGTTTCTTAGCAATGTTGCTTAAAAAGCCAATTCAGTGTTTTGTGCTAAAAAATGTGTTACTGGAGACGGGGGGAGAAATCTTCCCCTTTCTCAAGGCTGGCCATTCCTTTGGTTTTTGATGTTGGTACAATAATTCTTCCAGCCTATATTTCCGAGCCGTTTTTTCTTGTGTTTATGTTGACGGTGTACATCTTACCATCACCGTACAGTGTACTGCCCTCATCTGTATTGCTGCTGTGTGCATTGCGAGCTGTGATCTGGCGACCGCTTCAGTAATTGAGGAGGTCAGATCTGTGACCAGAGATCCCAGATATTAACCCTCCACAGAAGTGCATTTAATTAATGTTCCAGCGTGAGTTGGAGGGAAGGTTGTGTGAGTGGATGGGATTATGGATTGCAGTCATGCGTGCGTTTGATGGTTGGTATTTTTGGTTAATGGGGCTTCCTGGAAACAGTTGTTTGCTGTTAGGATTAATTTCAGAGTCCTGAAAAACAAAAAATGAAAAACGTGAACCCAGGTGTGTGCTTTTGCACGATACCGAGGTTTTGCACTTAAGGGCAGAGGGCACTCAGCCCTGAGGCTGCAGGCTGAGCCCCTGCCCAGCCCTACACCAGCAAGCCCCATTATTGCTGCAGTGCTCGGGGTGCTGTGAGGGTGCTGGAGCCGTCCCAGAGCGCTGCTGCCGTCGCTGTAGTGCTGCTGGCTGTTCTGCAGTTTTAGTTGCTTGGTAGCATCGGTTTGGTTTTGTTTTGCTCAGGTTGGCCCTGCCCTGGTGATGCTCACCCGGCATCCTGCTGGGCTCCCTCCATCTCCATAACCCAAACTGCATTTTCTGTCAAAACAAACCCACTGGTGTTATTTACACGTGCTGCTGTTGCTCCTGTGTGATGCGCTGAGCACGTCTGGGTACCTGACATCAGCAGCAGCGCGGAGCCAGCTGATGTGCTGGGCCCTCACCTAGTGCAGGATGTGGCCAGAGCCAGCCTGCAGCAGCATCCAGCTCGGCTGGCAGCAGGCTGCCAACACAGGCTGCTTTTTAGGGCAGCTCGGCTAGATGGGCACCATTCTGAGCATGCACAGGTATCCATCAGTGGCTGCAGAGATGGCAAAGAGAGAAGGGAGGGCAGCAGGGCGGCTGGGAAAGCTGGAATTGGGGATAGAACAGCCGGAGCTCGGGTTTCCAGTGTTCTGGGAGCACAAATAGCCATTGGCTGCTCTGGGCACAACGGGTCAGGAGCATCTCAGCATAGACTGCGAACACACCTGAAATCTTGATGTTTTTCAAGGCACCAGGAGAACCGTTTCTCACTCGGCTCTCAGCTGTCACATGCGTGTGGCACGAGTCTGCTTTTGCTCTCCTGATGCTTGGAAGAAGTTCAGCGTTTCCCAGGGCAGAATTATATGGGATTTTCGGGTTAGAAATCTGCAAGAAACTTCCAAAGAACATTAATGCACTGAGGAACTGTTTTTCTAAATGAAATACAAAATCATAAAACTATATCCTTTTTTAAATAGTACAAATGACTTTAAATCAAATTAAGGTACATCCTTAGTAAGAACATCAGCCTTTTAGGTGGTTACAAACATTAGAGGTCAGACATGGTCAAACATGTTAACACTTTGATCAGATTAAAATATTTTTCTTGCTACAGTTGTATAATTGAGTTGAGACCCGAGGGGGTTTTCTGAGCATTGTTACATCTTGTACCATGTGGTAGTTAAATCTTAGAAGGAGCATTTATAAGTTCCTTCTGTGCATAGGTTTGTGAAGCAGGGGCTGCACGGCCCCATCCCATGCCCAGCAGTTGGTCTCTGCTCCGTGCACTGCCTGGGTTGTGGGGGGTTCTGTCCTCCCACCTTCACTGCACCCCTCTTGTGTTCAGGCACCAGTGGGGTTTGGGCTGGTGGGATGTAAATGTTCTGTGTAGGAAGCTGAGGCACTGGGCTATGTCCTGTTCTTCTGGGAGAAACACAGGGCCTCCATTTCTTTGGAAAATCATTTTCTTCACTATTAAGCTCTCTAACTGGAGCTCATGTAGGAGCAAAAGGGTGGCGGTACCTTCTAAATCTCTGCACACTGACAGCCCCCACGTGAGACAGCTGGCCTAGGAAATAATGCAGATGTTCCCGAGATCTGCCCAGCTCCTCAAGTTTGCTTTCTATTCAGTGGGCTTGAAATGTCCCCTTGGGCAGGGCAAGATCAAAGTGCAGCCACTGCACTTTGCCACAGGTCCCAAATGTGTATCATGAGGTCAAAAAGCACAGAGCTGGAAGTCTCCTTCAGTGGTTAGAAGGAGAGGATTGGTCCCAGGGGCAAAGCTTTAATGCTGCCCTATGCTGGACAGGCGCTGAAGAAGCATGAACTGGGACTGGCTGCTGCTGCTGCTACAGCCCCTTCCCCAGATCTGCTCCATCCTTTGGAGGGAGGCTGTTGTCCTCTCAGCATTTCATGAAAGAAATCTGCAGCTCAGCTGCTTCTTTATACAGGTCTTTTTATGCTGGCTTTCTCTGTCGGAGCAATGGTTTTAACGTTCTTTTTTCCTGTGTGATGTTCTGATTCTGTTGAAATGAGTGGCAAAAGGCCCCCATGTCCACTCAGCTGGGGTTTGTCCCTGTGAGGAGCTGATGCATCCCTCTCCAGGTGTGGTGCCCCATTTGACAGAGGCTGGCAGCTGCAGCCCTGTGCAGATCCAGCAGTACAAGAGCAATACCAGCACCAGGCAGGCTTCCTGGTAGCAGGATCTGTGCTATGGGACCTGCCCATGACAGTGCCCTGTCCCCATGAGTGGTTATGTTCCTGGCAGAGGACGTTAGGAGTGCAGCGACTGATGATGGATAAGTCTTTTAGCAGACAGACACATGAATAAATAAAACAGCAAATCCACTTTTTCCAGCTCTTCTACCTAGCTTGAGACGGGATAATGGTGAAAATAATATTTTATGTTAAAGCGTGCTGTTGGATAGGTGGATGTACTGAGGTGCAGGGCTTCCGAGGTCGTTTATTGCATGTCTGATTCAGTCTTGGTTCCCCCCAAGGAAAATTCTTGCGTTAATTTCTGAGTTCATATCACACCCTCAATTTTGAAGCAGAACTTCCCTTTGAAATAAATTAGAGAGCTCTGCTTAAGAAGCAGCGACATGATACAGCGCTGCGTGTGTGTGGTCTAATATAACCTTATTTTTAAAGTTGTTTGGAACGAAAAAAAGAGAGAGAAAAATGTCACAGGGAAACAAAAGCGAGTTTTATGTAAATCCTTGCCTGTGAATAACTCTGCACGTGATTTAGATGGCCCAACAGTATCTGCTCTCCTCCTGGCATTCCTTCACAGGAGCTGAGCTGGCTGCTGATGAGGAGCTGCTCCGGTGC